TCTGCGGGGAGCTGGGGCTGCTCTCGGGGGCTGGGGAGGTGCTGGGGTGGGAGAGAAGCATCCCCCATTTCCAGCATCCTCCTTCCCAACCCCCTCTGCCAGAGCAGGGCACAGAGCCCCCACTGAGTCCCCTCAGCTCCGGAGCCCCTGCAGGGAGCTCTGAGGTGCTGGAGGGAAGGGGTGGGATGAGGAGGGATGGGTGGGTGGGATGCAGAGGGGGGGGTGGGATGTGCACGTGCTTTCCCCAGTACCAACAACTTTGCAGCAGCAGCTGCTTTTGGAGTGGGGGGGCAGGCCCAGCAGCACCCCCGTCCCATGGAGGGTCCCCTTGGCATTCCCAGCTGGAGCTGCTGTGGGGTCTGGTCCCTCCTCCAGGGGAGGAGAGCCCAGCAGGGTGGGGGCCATGCTGGGCCCATCTGTTTCCAGCTGCAGGAGGGGGCACGGAGCAGCTCGAGGCTGCTCTGCCTCTGACAGAGATTGACTTAAAAAGAGACAAAACCCCGTCCCAGCCCGACCAGCAGCCGGCCCTTTGCTGGCCTAAATCTAAACCATACTTCTTTTTTTTTCCTAAGAGACTCCTTGAAGGGCTCTGGGATGCTGTGAGTAATATTTTCGGGGTGTTTACACTACAGCACGGTTTCTGTCTCCCAAAAAAAAAAAAAAGACTCCGAGGGTGGTTTTTGTTGTTGTTGTTCTGCACTCATGAGTCACTTCCAGAGGGGAGCAGGAGCTGACGCCTGTTTTTTGAAAAGGCTCAGAGGTCTGAGAGTGGCTCCTCAGGCTGCATGTCCTGCCCACACCCTCCCCAGTGAGGCTCAGTGTCCCAGGGGGCTCAGCACCCTCTGTCCCCACAGCCCTGCCATCCCAGCTGCTCCAACACCATCAAATGGGGACCAGTTCCTCCAAACTGAGCACTATTATCCCAGAGGTAGGAGGCTGCACACACACACTGGGCACACAGCCTCGGAGCTGCCTCTGTTCCTGCTGGGAAGCCTCACATCCCCACCCTGGGCAGGTGTCCCCAGCATGGCCGTGGTCACCCCACCTGTGTGGGGTCACTGTGAGCAGCAGGGCTGTGGCAGCAATCCTGCTCCTCCCCACCCTGAGCCCATCCTGCCGGCTCCTGGGCTGGCTGCTGGGCACGGAGCCACCCCCGGAGCCACCCCCGCAGCTCTGGAAAAGCAGGTTTTCCCTGTGCCCCTGGGAAGCAGCAAGGTGGAGAGGGGAAGATGGAGCCTTTTCCATGGTGGAATTGCTCCAAGAGCAAGGGAGAGCTGCCCAGCCCTTTGGGACATGCACAGGGGAGGTGACAACCTGGTCTCTTCAGGTCAAGTGCCTATCCCTAACCCCAGCTAGGCAGCAGAGGCAAGGGTGCAGCAGTGCTGAGGGTGGGGTGGGGAGCAGGGCTGCAGCACCCCAAGCCCCACTCCAGGAACCTGGTACCCTCCTAGGGACACCCAAGGTCCCCAGTGCCACCACTCACCCTGCCTCAACTCGCCAGTGCCAGCAGCACATCTGGGATTTCAGATTAAATCTGGAGCCACTCTCCTTCAGGAAAGGGGCCAGGCTCTGCAGGATGGGCAGGCCAAGCTGCTGCTCCCCAGATGCCTGAGGGGACCCCAGGAGCTGCCCAGAAGCTGGGCACTGGCTGTGCCATGGGTTCAGGGCGTTTTGCTCCCCAGCCAGTGCTAGGAGCATGCAGGGGGCATCTCTCCTGCCCCAGGGTGAGGGCTGGGGGATGTCACGGCTGGCATGGCGAGCCAGAGCCATGCCTGACTGATCTTCCTCCCTCCCACTCCTCCTCGCCCTGCTGGGACAGACGATGAGTGAATCCAGCGCCAAATCCAGCCAGCCCCTGGCCTCCAAAGGGGAGAAAGACGTGTCGGAGAAGAGGGGCCGAGGGCGGCCTAGGAAGAAGCCACAGGTACGTGGGGGTCCCTTATGAGAAAGAGGGGGCTGGGCACTCCCAGGGTGTGGGGCAGCAGGAAACCCCCCCCCCCCCCCCCCCCCCGCCGCACGTACCCGGCCGGGCTGCAGGCGGAGCCGGGGGGGGCCCCCCCCCCCCCCCCCCTACACCCCAGTGCAGCCCCTCTACCCCTTTGGGCAGCACCTCCCCAGGGCAGCAAGACCTTCCTGGGGGTCTCCAGAGCCCCCCAAGAGCTCCTGGCCCCGGCTGGGGGCTCTCCTGCCCCTCCCCAGGCCCTGCTGAACCTGCCTTTGCAGACAGGCTAATTAAAGCCCCATTAGCAAAAGCTGCTCAGAGAGATAAGATGCTGCTGGAGCCTTTATAGTACCAAACCCTGTTCAGCCCCCCCCACCGAGGTAGGTGGGGTTTGTGCACATCGTTTTCCTGCAGAAAAGGTGATTTGTGGCTTCCCCGACACTTCCTTGGCTGCAGCACCAGCAGGGAGCAGGGTCTGGGCTGAGGGGCCTTGGGGACCATGCAGCTGGGCTGAGTGGGTGATGCTGGGGGTGGAAAAGGTCACGTATGCCCAGCTGAAGGACACACAGGAGCCTGTGCCTGGCGTCTGATTGCCAATCCCAGTGTGACCAGTACTCCCAGTACCACATGGGAACATCCCTGCCCTGGCTGGGGACAACGGGACTCCCAGGCTGGAGCATTCCAGGGTGCACTGGAAGCTGCTCTGGGCATGCAAACCCCCTGTGCTCTCCCTCCAGCAGGAGCCCAGCGAGGCCCCGACCCCCAAGAGACCCCGTGGACGGCCGAAGGGCAGTAAAAACAAGGCCACCCCAAAGGGCAGGGTAGGTACCTGGGACGGGGCTGCTCCAGCTGGGTGCTGGCACCACAGGTCCTGTTTGAGCTCAGATACGGACAATTCAGGGTGGGGAGGAATCTGCTCGAGGAGGGTGGGGGAGCTGGGGGCCGTGTGTCAGCACCAGGACACCCGAGATAAACCTGTTTGCAAAACACGCGACTCACATCCTGCACCCACCTCGTGACTCACGGGGCATCCCGGGGCTGGGGGGGCTTGGGGGGCTGGCAGCAGCACCCCAGGAGATGCCACTGGGGTGATGAATCCAGCAGTCACAGTGGGAGGAAGGGGAACACCGCCCACCCCTGCCAGCGTCCTGGGGACAGCCTGACCAAAATGCCTTTTTTGTTGTCCTGGCTCAGAAAGCTGCAGTCACACCAGGGAGGAAACCTCGAGGGCGACCCAAAAAATCGGTGAGCAGGCTTTTTCCTTCCCCATCCACCCTGGCAGGGTGCTGTGGGCACTTTGGGGGCACAGCAGCTCCCCAGTGAGCTCCATGAGTGCGGGGTGGAGGCTGTCGGGTTGGAGGAGCTCAGAGCAGCTGAGCGAGTAGGACACTGCACTGGGTGGGCTCTGAAACCTCTAGAGGTGGGGGTTTGAGGAATGCTGCCCACCCCACCTCCCCGTGGGCCCAAGAGCAGTGCTGGCTGGCTGGTCCTGCCCTGGGGACATGCTGGCACTCGCCTGCCTGGGTCCTTGAACAGCATTCCTGCAGCCCACGGGTGCAGCCACCCCCTTCCTTCCCTGAGCTTCCCCTCCTCCATTCCATTTTTCCTCCTTTCCCCCTCGGTTCACAGCTCAGGAAGGTGCCAGGTACCCGGACAGTTTCATCTCCTTTCCCTGCCAGTCCCTGATTTCACTCCTTTTCCCACTGAAATCCCTCGCAGAGCCAAGGAGTTAAAGCCAGCCAGGGCTGCAAACCCGAGGTGCCATGCTGGGGTCCCCTGTGCTGGTGTCACAGTGCCGGGGGCTGTTTGGGGACCCCAGGGCAGGCAGCCAGTGCAGGGGGGTGTGGCAGGAGCCTGTCCCGTGCCAGCGGGGCCGTGCCGGGACACGATGTCCCGCTCTGGCAGGCGCGGTGGCGTTTTTTGTGAATGGAGAGGGAGGAAGCGGGGGCTGCTGTGACTCAGGCTCACTCAGCCCTGAGTCACCGCCGCGTGCGGGGTCACGGCCTCCCACACCGGCGTGGGGGCTGGACAGGGACACCCGGGGCTGGACAGGGACAGCCCTGGCTGCCACCACCCCCCCGGTGGCACTGGGGACCCGGCCGTGGCTCTGGGGACTGTGGTCCCACGCTGAGGTGGTGTTGGTGGGGGAATGCTCTGCCCTCCTCACTGTGAGCCCACCCGAGGGGTTCTCACCTGGGATTTACCCCGAGCTGGGGTCAGGGCCAGTCCTTGGACTGTAGGGAGCTGTAGCTCAGTTTCCCTGGTTGCACAAGGGGTGTGATGTGCCTGGGCAGCCCTTGGTGGTGGGGCTGCTCTCCCTGACACCCCCCCGGCCACGCTCCTTTGCCTTGCAGCAGCAGGACGAGGAGGAGGTGAACATTTCCCAGGAGTCATCCGAGGAGGAGCAGTGACACCTCCCGAACCGGCGCTACCTCATCGCCCGACGGCCCCGCAGCGGCTGGGGGAGAGGGGCGGGGAGAGACCCACCGTGCCGCCCTGGCTTCCTCCTCCTCCTCCTCCCTCCTCCGCTCCCTCCTCACCCTCAGACAACGGCAGCACTGGAAAATGGCCCAACCCGGGCGGCCCCCGCAGCCCCCGCCCGGGGGGGGCACCTGCCCCAGCTCCCCCTCCCCAGCCCTGGGGTTCGGGGCAGCCCCACTGGAAAGGGGGATCATGGCAGAGAGCCGGGGCTGGCACCCCCCACCTTCGCTGCCCCCCGTGCAGTGATCTCACCCCGCCAAAGTGGGTGCTGGCTGCCCCCCCAGCACTGGGCTCTGCCCTGGGGCCTCTGCAGGGAAGAGACGGGGGGGACAGTGAAGGTGAGACCCCCCCAAAATGCATTAGACCTTTGCTCTGACCCTGAGCAACCCCTTTGTCCCCCCCAGTCCTGGGTGACTGCACTGTGTGCGGGAGCAGCTCCCACGGCGCTGCCGGGGCCCGGTGCCCATCCCCGGGGTGCCCACCCCCAGGGGTGCCAGTCCCCAGGGATGCCCGGGCACGGCTGGCTCCAGGCAGCCCTCTCCCCATAGGTTCTGGTATAGATATTTTTTTTGTTTTGTTTTGTTTAGTACTTTTTTTTTTTTTCCTTTCATTCACAACTACCTCTGGATATTTAAGTTCCACGCTCTGAACTCACAGACGTGCTGCTGCGCTGCCGGGGCACCGTGGTGGTTCCTGTTTTCGGGCTGTTGCTGGGGGCTATGGGGTATTTTTTTTTTTTTCCCCCTTTTTTTTTTTTTTTGGGTTCGTTTTTCTTTTTTTTTTTTTTTTTTTTTTAAATTGTTATTTTGAGGTCTAGTTTGCTCTGCTGCTTCAAGGGATCGAGGCTGGCAGGGCAGAGGTGTGGAGGGACCAGGGGATGCTCCCCCTGCCCCTCTGCCCCGGCACGACGGCTGCAGCGGGACCGGAGGTCGGTGCTGGGCGGCCCCGGCGGGAGAGAATCGGGGTTTGGTTTGGGTTTTTTTTTTTGTTTCACTGTTAACGACCTTTTGGGTTCCTATTTGCAGTTACTTGAATAAAACATTTTATGGATGTTTGTGAGCCTCTGTTCAACCCCCTGGCTCCTCCTGGGGCATCTCCTGCACAGGGACATCCAGCTATCCATGGGGATGAGCTGCCGATGGAAACACACACAGGCAAAGCCTTGCTGCCCCCCAAATTCCCACCCAAGGCCGGGAATCCCCAGCCCCACTCAGAGCCCCGGGGCCAAGGCAGAGACATATTTATTTACCCCATCTTCCCCCAGGCATCCCGTGCCAGCAGAACCTGCTGCTCCCTGCCAGTCTGCCAGCCCCAGTGGGCCCTCCTGGGCTTTCCAAGGGGCTGCTGGAGCACTTCAAGCAAAGAAAAAATGGCAAAACCAGGCACTGAGGTAGGAGATGTCCCATCCCGGTCAGTGCTCAGAGGTGGGGACAGCAGCTGTGGCATCACCGTGGGCACATCCAGCCCGTTCTGGCTGATGGAACCCCGTGCTCCCTTCCCTCCCGCGGGCAGGATCCGGTCCTGCTGCTCCAGGCACAGTCAGGCCCTCCAGTCCCTGCGCGGGGGCCAAGAGGGCGAGGGTCCCCCCCAGCCGGGCACCACCTGCAACACAAAGGGACACACCTGCAGCCCAGGGCATCGCAGCGGGTGGGGAGGCACTGCCCACGCAGCCCAACCCTCCCAAAAACCTCTGCATTACACCCAAAGCCCGACTCCTTCGAGGTCGGATTCAGCATTCTTAGAGGTCTTTCCCAACCTCAGTGATTCCCAGAGTTCCCTCGGGACAGGCACCTCGCTGCTGCTGCTTCAGTTTTCCATGGGAAAAACGGGATAAACGCCAATTCCCAGGACAACGACCCACCTGAGCCTCCTCAGCCTCCACCAGCAGCTCCTGCTCGGACTCGGGCGGCTCCTCAGCGGGGTCGTAGCTGTACATGGGCAGCAGGCGGTGCCGCAGCCGGTCGGACCTGCCGGGGGTCGCCGGTGAGCGCTGCCCCCGCAGCCCCCGCGGCCCCCAGCCCCGCGGCCCCGCTCACCTGCACTTCTTCTTGACGTACATCACCTGCGGGGAAAGGGCATCAGCGGCGCGGGGCTCCGGCCGGGCTCGGCGCCCCCCATCGCTGCCCCCCGCCCGCCCACTCACCGCGGCCAGGAGGGCGCCGAGGAGGGTGAGGAGGAGGAAGGGTCCCAGCACGGAGCCCACCAGCGAGTCCCCCGCCGCGCCCGGGGCCGTGGGGGCCGTGGCGTTGCTCATGGCCCAGCGCCGGCTGCTGCCCGCATCGGGGGGCGCGACTGTCCGGCCCCACGGACGGGAGCTCTGCAAGGCACCGGCGGCCTGGGGAATGACCCGCACACCGGGAATGACCCGCACACCGGGAATTCACTGCCTGGGAATGACCCCCACCTCGGGAATGACCCGCACCCCGGGAATTCACCGCTCGGGAATGACCCGCACACCGGGAATGACCCGCACACCGGGAATGACCCGTACCCCGGGAATTCACCACCCGGGAATGACCCCCACCCCGGGTACCCACCGCTCACAATGAGCCCCCCATCCCGGGAATTCACCACTCGGGAATGACCCACACACCGGGAATGACCCGCACCCTGGGAATTCACCGCCTGGGAATGACCCCCATCCCGGGAATGACCCGCACCCCGGGAATTCACCGCCTGGGAATGACCCCCATCCCGGGAATGACCCGCACCCCGGGAATTCAGGATGGATGGATGGATGGATGGATGGATATGTGGGTGTGGTGGGAGACAACCATCCCACAAGGCTGGGGATGGCCGCGTTTCAGGGGTGCCAGGAGCACAGGCAGGGTCACCCCCAGTGGGGGCTGCTGTGGGTCCCTGGCCAGGCCCTCCTGCTGTGGCCGCTCTCCCCCAGGCTGGGCCCGTGGGGACTCCAGGCATGGCTGTGACGGTGCCAGCAGTGTCACCCACAGTGGTGGCAGCGCCCCAGCCCTGATCCCGGCCGCAGGGCTAATCCGCTTTGCCCGCGGGGACCAGATGGTCCCGCTAAGTGGGTCAGGAAAGAGCGGGGAACACCAGGGAGCACTGGGCCCCGCTGCGCTTCCCAACAGCTACAAAAAATAATCTTCAAGGGGAATGGGGTGAAAGAGGAGCCTGGACATGGCAGGGCTGGGGGGACACAGCCCCTGGGCTGGCCGCAGGGCAGGGCTCAGCCACTGCGGAGCATCCAGAGCCTCCTGAGCTGGTAGGGAAGAGCAGCGCCTGGTCTGCAGCCTCTGGGATGAACTTGCCCATGGCACAGCCAGTTGTACCCTGCCTGTACCTCTGCCTATAGCAGTCCCTGCAGTGCTGCCCTCTCCTCCTGCCCAGCCCATGCAGGGTCATTTTCCCCTCTCCAGACCAGAAAAGGGCACCAGCTGTCCCGAGAGTGGCCAACTGCTGTTGTTCCCCATGTCCCATTGTCCCCAGGGGTCCCGCTGACCCCACTCTCCCCAGCAGTGGCACTGGTCTCCTTGTCTGTGTTGACTCCCCCTGCCCCAGAGACCCTTCCCAAAGCAGCCCCAGCCCCTTTTAGCACTGCAATGGGGGAACCACAGAGTGGAACAGGACTCCCAGTCCCCCCCCAGCCCAGCACTGACACCTCGGGAGCCTTCCACGCTGCCACCATCCACCGCTGCCCATCCCCTCCCAGCTGAACCCTGCTGTGCCAGGGCTAAAAATAAATCCATCAATTTCTAGGAAAGCTCCTTGGAGAGCATGAGCGAGTGGGAGCACATGGCCAGGAGGAGCATGCGTGGTCCAGGGGAATCGGCATCCCTGGGAGCAGACCGGGGGTCACCAAGCCCCTCCACATGGCCACAGCCAGCCCAGGACACCTGCAGCATCCCCACATCCCACATGGACATTATTTTTTTCCCAATCCACTGCTTCCCAGAGCACCCAGATGAGGGAAAAAGGGGAGTCAAAGCTGGGGCAGCACAGGACCTGCTCATCCATGGAGAAATCCCCGCCTTGCTAGCCTTGGGGTGGGGAAGGATGTCAGGGGGGCTGAGGGCAGCATCGCCACCCATCCTGGGGACACGGCACCTTCGTGTACGGGGTGTCAGCCAGAGGGACAAAACTGGAATAGCAGCACAGGGCATTCATTTCTGCCCCGAACCCCGCTGTGAGCCATCAGCCTCCTCCCCTGCGCTCCTCGGCCCCCAGCACGTAATTGGGGACAGCTTTGCTGAGCCGCTAAGCTCCCGTTTAAGCAGCTGAGCGCAAGTGGCCGGATTTCCAGCCAGCGCATCCCTCCGGCTGCTCATCCGCCCAGAAGAGCCGGGCGGGGGCCGGGTGCGGCCCCGGCTCTGCCCGCCCGCTCGGGCATTGCCGCCGCCGTCAGCTCCGATTAATTCTGCCCCGGGCCGCAGCTGCGAGGCGGGGCTGGGGCACACCAGCCCCCGTGTGTTCTGCGGGAGGAGCCTGGCCACATCCAGATCCCAAAGGGAATTCGCAAAGGCTCGCTCAGGGCTGGGTGTCCACACCAGGACTCGCTTGTTTCGCAGGGAAGTGCGGGAGGTCGCCTCTCTGTGGCCAGGCAGGCAGCCCCAGTGGCACCACGCGGTGCTGTGCTCTCGGTGCAGGCTCCACCCGGCCTCTCCCACAGCTGTTTTGTGGGAAGGATTTTGTGGAAGAGGTGGGAGCACATTCAGAGGCTCCTCGAGGCTCTGTCCTTAAAATGCTCCTTTTTATTGCAGGGTGCATGTCCCATCAGCGAGCCCATCTCAACACCAGGCTGTTGGTGACATCCCTCCAGTTCCTCTTCCAGGCTGTGACTGTCCCAAGCCACTGCAGGGAGAGCTTTCTCCTTGGGTGACAATCTCCGAGTTCACCTACCAAGGAGAGACCAGGCAGGAGGCAGAGCCGTGTGAAACACTGGCGTGTTTATTGGTTGGCACTAGATTACAGCCCACACTCTCGGCAAACTGGCACCCACCAATTTTATTTTTTCAATTTTTCACTATTTTAAAGACAGTGACGGCCTCTCACAGCTCAACAGAGGAAACCCCTCATGACAGGACCCCACTGCACCGCCCAGCTTCACACACGGAGAGCCCTCCAGCCTTTCTGGAGACAGCAGAGATGAGAGGTCAGAATCAAGGAGGGATGTCCTGCACCTGCCAGCCAGCACTGAGCAGGAGAACACCTGCTCCTTCCTGCAGGTGGGGGTGAGGTCGAAGGTACCAGCTCAGAACAAACCAGAGATGCTCAAACCCCACAGCTCTGACCAACCATGGTGAGTTCTTGTTTTGGAGAGGAATGGAGAAGCCTCAGGCAAAAATGCCTGTGGACAGGAGGCTGGACAATGGACCCTGGTCATTCATCCCTCAGCTGGGTCTGGAATCCCCTTTTCATGATTTGGGGGGACTGCCAGGAGCCCCCCATGCACACACAGCTCATGGAAGGACTGAGCAGCAAATGCAAAGTGATCATTCCAGATTTTCTGATTTAATAAATATAAAATAGGACACACAGGAAATTCAACAAACACTCTCAGACCTCCCCAGGTTTCTGAGGCAATTCTAGAGCAAATTCATCAAGTATAACATCAAAATTCCCATCTTCCCACCAAAAAGAAAACCAAACCAAAAACAAAACAAGAAAAAAGAAAAACCTCTATGGACTAGCACCAAAGAGAGATTTATAAATCTCCTAAATACAACTTCAGTCCAGTTCAGTTTCTTTTTCACCACCTCAGGTTTTTTTCACCAGCTCCTTTAGTTTTGCACAGACCCCTGACACTATCCCAGCACAGCACCCCAGGGTCTCTGCAGCCCAGAGCAGCTGGATTAGTTCATTCCAAGCTTAGGAAAAGGAGAATCACACCCTGTGTGTGTCAGGGGCTCAGGGAGCACTGAGGGACACCCCAGCCATGAGGTCACCACGTCCCTGAAGGGCTGCAGCCACCAGATGATGCCGTTATTGAGGAGAACAGAGCCAGGAGGGAAAACCCAGCCTGGGAGCAAGACCAGAGCAGGCACTGGGTCAGCCAGAGGGAAAAGCTCCTCACACTGCCCCAGTCACTGCCTGGGGCAGGTTTGGATGAAGATGCAGGCTCCACTTGGGAGGGTCAAACCCCAAAGCAACCCCTCACCAAGCCCCAGTGCTGCCTGCATGCTCTGCACAGGGATGGATGCTGCATCCGGCTGTGTGAAAACACAAACATGTTAATTTGGGATAGAACAGAGAGAACAGGCAGGAAAACCTACAGCCCTGCTACAAGGGGTACTCGCTGGACCTGCGCAGCCTCCAGGATTTTGATCCCTGCTCGCTGTGGAATGCTGAACACAGCTTCTGCATGGAAAAGCTGAGGCAAAGGCCCAAAGCCTCTGCTGGATCCGGGAAGGGAACTGAGGATTCCTGACATTCCCTACCCACATTTTTAGCCACTGAATACTTTGTGGCCACACAAAGGAAAAAAGCAACACTTGCAGATTCCAACCCCTTTTCATTTTTCCCTTTACAGAGTTTGCTTTAAGGCACATTCCAGCTCAGGCTGAACGAGCTGCCTCAGTGCTCCACAGGAGAGTAGGGAAGAGCTCACAGCATCCACCTACACAGGAACAGAGCTGGTGGCAGTGCTGATACTGCTGCTCCTTCCAGCCCCAAACCCAGCTCCCACCTTCCCCCCAGCACCAGGGCAGACAGCAGCAGGTTTGGGTGCTGCCTCCCCAGCACCCATGGGTGAGGGACCCCCCTCAGGCTCTGCCCCCTTCCATCAGCTGGGTGATGAAGAGCAGCAGCCCCTCCTCACCTCACACCCCAAACCAGCATTCAGGACCTGCCAGGAGGGGGGACCAGACGGCTGCTGCACCTCGTTGGCTGTCTGGGGACACCCTCTGTCGTAGCCAGCTCCCAGCAGTGCCCAGAGAGCACAGCCGGGCTGAGAGCCAGCTGAGAACTGCTCCCAGGGGATGCTGAGACACAGAGTGACACCTCACATAAGGGTCAGGCCAGCTGAGGTAAGATCATCCCACTATCCAACACCACCAGCTTGGAACAGCACCAGTTTCAGCACAGCTGGGAGCCCCAGGCTCAGCCCCTGGGACTCAGTGGCCCCAGCAGTGATTCTGAGCAGCACTGTCAGGGCTGCAGAACCAGAGCCACCCTCCCACAGCTCCCCTGGGCCTCTCACAGACAGGGCGACGCTCAGTCCCAAACCAATTAACACCAGTTTAGATAAAACCACTCCAGCTGCTGGGGGTGCAGCCGTACAGGCTCTAGAGAGAACCTCAGATGCTGAGGAAGATGAGGATTGTGTGGTGCAGGGAGAGGTTCAGGGAGCACAGGGCTCAGGCCTGGTCTGAATCTGCATCTCTTGCATCAAGGTTATTCCTGCCCCAGGAGCCATTTCCAAGGCATGTTATGCCTTGTAACATCAGCCACTCCGTGGTAACAGCATCAATCCATGCCACATTAAAACACTTTCTTGGCACAATTTATTTTTTCTGACCCAAACAAATAAGCCATTAGCAAGTCATTAACAATATTCTACCCTAAATTGTCAGTTTAACAGCCCTGTAAAAACATTTTTAGTTTAAAAACAAAAGTGTGCATGCTGCTGATATTAAAACTGCAGTTACTCTTTCAGGAGTACCAGCTGTTTTGTTGCAAAGCATTTCCAACATACTAATCTGTACAGTAGAGACCAAGACTCGTTGAAGGCAGTAGATGGCTGTGTCAGGTGCCTCGCAGGGCACGGGGACAGCGACTCTGGGAATTTCTTGGACACTTCCAGATAGAATATTCAAGCCCTTTTGAGAGTTTGGTTCAGGCTGACCAGCACATAGTGAGAAAGGATTGTACATTCGTCTCTAAGTTGAAGTGAGCTGAACTGGTGTAATTTGGGCTCAATTCCAGACGCTTGGGTTTGAGCTACTCCTTGAATAATGGGCTGTTCCTTACGCGTGGTTTTCCATGTCAGCGATCACTGGCACTGCTTTTGGCCTTGCTACTCCACACCGATGAAAGCAGGGAGAACAAGGAAAGGAACAGAAAAGGATCTTAAAATGAACAGCTTCTTGCCAAACCAGCAAGGATACCATTCCCCCTTGTCCCAGGCTCCATGGATATTTCTATCAGATTTTCATATTGTAAGCGCTTCTCAGGAAGAGAGAAAACTCCAGAACAGTGAGTGTTTATTAGAATATTTTTTGTTAAATAAAGAGCAGGAAAAAAAAGGAAAAAAAAAAAAGTACTGCAGATTTAATTTCACATCTTGGCTCTGCTCTGACAAAGGAGAAGTTACTGAACTCAGCAACCACTTCTTGTCCCAAGCCAGGGATTAATTAATGCCCCTCCCAAAACTTGTACCTGTCCCAACCCACCCCCCCAACCCCAACCCCAACCCTTCCCATTTTATTTCCCAACTAGACAACACTGTTGGCAAATCAAGACAGCATGAAACTTACAGCAATAAAACAACAAACCCCCAAGTGAAGTGTGCCAGCGCATCGGGGAGTTCTCCCGCGCCGCTCCCCCGGGAATGCTGCCTGCAGGAGGCAGCTGTACCTTTCACAGAGGGCACACTTCGAGCACGCTCCACGGTGCGGCCGGAAGTGCTGCAGAACCACAGGACAAGAGACTCAACACCTGAATTTTCCCCCCCCCCCCGGAGGCTTCTCCTCAGGGACGCGCGCGCGGTTCTCCGAGCGCGGCAGCGACGCTCGGCGAGCGCGGCCCGATGCTCAGCACAAACCCCAAGCGTCCAGTTGAGCACGGCGTAAGGCATGTGGACAGGAGAGACACGAGCGGGACGCAGCGGGAGCGGGGGACAGCGCTGGTGAGCCTCGCTGCAGTCTGTCCGTCCGACCCACCCCCGCATCCCCGATTCCCACCGCAGCCGGCGCGACCCGGGCGCTGTCGCAGCGTTGCTGAGGCCGTTTGGTTTTGGCCAGCGGCTCCAGATCGGCTCCGCGCCGTTTCCCTCGGATGGAAACGCAGAAATGTTGGTGGAAGCTGCCGGAAAAGCCGCAGGGATGTCTGCAAGGATGTCTGCAGGTGATCCGAACTCTGCCCTCAACTTCTAGTGTCACTGCACTAAATCGGGAGATACTGCATGGGGAGTAAACTGGCCCAGCCACTAGCACTGCCACAGAATGTGTGTTTTTAAAAAACAGAACAAAAGGCAAACAGATTAATTATGAACCCTTCTTTTCAGAAGCAGACCAGGATTAAAAAAAAAAACTCCCGCAAAATTAAAATGTTAGATCCTCCATCTAAAAAAAAGTTTATACAGATGTGCTGCGAGTAATCCCCACACGGGCCTGAGCAGCACCTTACAGTACAGACTAAGACTTGAAGAGCTGATCTCACATTGGAAGTCTTTTAATTAAAAAAAAAAAAAAAAAAAAAAAAAAAAAAAAAGAAAAGTGGCTCTGGCTGGGGTGACACGAAGGGGACACTCGGGACACTTCAGAGCACAAGGCAGATGCGGGGCTGGCAGCCTCCAGGCCGTGGAGCGGAGTACCGGGAAAGGGGCACTTCATGCACCAAATGTATTTTACAAAATACAGATCCAAAAAAAAAAAAAAAAAAAAAAAAAAAAAAAGCAAAAAAAAGCCAACAACAACAACAAAAAAATCATCCCACCTTGCACTAAATCGCAGCACTCTGAACACTTGCTCTGCCCCAGGCGGCTGCCCATGCCTGGTGTGAGGGAGGAGGCATGGAAACGGGGAGGGGAGGGAAATCCAGGTCTCAGTCTGCTTTAGGGAATTGCTCTCGCAGGGACTCGTCACTCATCTGTCAGTCATCTGATGTCGGACACGGAGCTCTCGGAGTACGGCGTGGTCATCACCGGGGTGCCGTTGTTGGCCAGACAGCCTTGCCTCAAGGTCTCAAAATACGAGGCCTGCACTGGTTTATGATACTGCAGAACTTTTATGGCATCCTCTATCTTAAACCATTCCCTTTTCCTTCCTGGGGGCAAAGAGAGAAATCAGTAGATGCAACAGAGTGGTGTTCTCTGACCTCAAGGGCCTCCCCCTCCAGCCCCACACTGACAGCTCCCATCCCCAGGGACAGTTTAGGGCAGTACATCCCCTGTCTCACATTTCTTAATTAAAAAAAACGTTGTTTTACTATTTCTGCAACTTCTATTCAAGCCTGATGCTCACTTTATGATAACTCACAACACACACACCAAGCACCACCCAATTTCCATCAGTTTGCAAGCGGATTTCAGTTTCCTGTGGACAGCTCTCAGTTCTTACTCTTTCCATAAAGAGCCTGAAGGGAGTCATGTTCCATTTGCTGCAGTGCAGTCACAAACCTTGTGGCAACAACAGGTTCATTTCCACTCGGGAATCCAATTTAAACACAAAGGTTTCAAAGGTAACAGGGAATGATTAACCCAATACTGCTCACATGTATTTCCTCTAGTCTCAAACAGGACAGTTCTTCATCTTTGCTTGGTACCATCCAGTGCAAGAATTAAACACAAGATTGCTGCAGAGGCAGCTGGACACTCAGTTGGCTTCTCCTGGGCCACAGAGGTGACAAATCATCAATTTCACCACAATTTTTTTTTTTCCCAGGCAACCAAAGGACACATCACTGCAACTTTTCCCAATGACACTCGCACAGACTCCAGGGTCCCAGTGACACTCACACAGACTCCAGGGTCCCAGTGACACTCTCACAGACTCCAGGTCCCAGTGACACTCACACAGACTCCAGGTCCCAGAGGGTGCTGAGCTGACCTGTGGCTTGTTCCCATCAGTTAATGCAGCATGCACCAAGCTTACCAATATTGACAGAGTCCTCCCAGTCCTCCAACACTTCGGTGACGATGAGTACGTAAACATAAGTCCTGTGCTTCCTGTCCCGGTTCTGGAAGGCAAAGGGGACAGAGTAACAACCAACCAACAGCAACAACACACCTTTCTAGGCAGGAGGGCACTGGGCTGCTGCAAGATGCAAACTGCCCACCTTGGGTGCAGCTCCTCCCACAGCACAACTCATTCTTAGCTACTAAAAACGGCTGTGTTTTAAATCAGAGAGGTCTGAAAGTGCTGACAGACACGGATACCCAAAATTGTAGTTCATGATCTGTGGAGCAGTGGTTTGTGGACTGATGTGCTCTATAAATTAGTTCTTGAAGGTTTTGACCTATTTCACGTGAGTTTGAAGGAGTCAGTGCCAGAACAACAGCAAGAAGAGCTGTGTCCAGTATCTGCCAACTGCCAGGTGTGGCTGTGAGTGCTACAGATGAAGGGGGGACCCCACTCCCCTGCTTTTGGCAGCACTAAGAATATTCAGCCCCACCAGTTATCACCAGTGATTTCACTGAAGTGCCCATTGCAAAGATCAGAATTGTGTTTTTATTTACCAGTGAGGCTCACTCCACAACCCTGCAGAGCCATTGTTACTCCAAGATGATTTTTTGCAACAAAATTTCACAGCGTCCATGTCTGAAACTTACCTCAAAAATTCCCACTAATCTTCCTAACGTCCCTTTCACTCCAGCCTAGGAAAGTTCAAAGAGAAAAGAAACATGCTTTAACAACAGCTCAGTACGTGTTTCCTACTTGTTGTGCAGGACCAGTTCCTTTAGGACAGGAAGCAAACGCTCTAAAATTCTGCTTGTCTTAAACCAGCACAGTCACAAGGCAAAAAACAGAAATGTATCCTGAGTGCTCAATGTCCAAGCATTCCCAGGGTTTTTTTCTCTTGTTTTCCTACATTCAAACAATTTTGAATTCAATCTGGAGGAAGACGAAATATTTGAGGAGTTACTCCTTGCATACCAATACAGTCCTCGTGACCAGAATCTCCTCTGCAGGTTATTACAGCCTGAGCAAGGGGAACATTGGCTTTGGGGTTTGGCAGTTTTACCCCTTCAAAATCAGAGTTTAAGGAAATAAAGTATGTGTAAAACATTCACCTACACTCCAAGAGTGATGTGACAGCTCCCAGGTATTTCAGGGGTGTCCTGCACACACCTGAAACAAGCTAATATAAACACAAAATGCTGTGATGTGGCCCTGGCAGCAGGAACCAGAGAGGTTTGGATATAACACAAAGGGCAGATGCACACTGAAATAAAGCTCTTGAATCAAGCAGAAGCACAAATCAAGAGATCTAAGCAACAGTTTTGTCTGAATACTACCGAGGATGTACCACTCCATCACATTTGGTGTCCCTTTTGGCACCTCTCTGCTGGCTCCCTCCCCACCCTCCTCAGCTCTCTGTGCAAAATCCCAGCCCACTCTCCTGCCCTTGCTTTATATTCCCTCTGTTTTATGACTGTAAATGGTTGGAACTCAAGTGCTACAGACAAGATGAGATCTTGCTCCATGATTTAACAGGTCTGAACCAACCCACACAGCCTGGCACACGACCCAGCCACAACTGGGAGGTAGAGTCAGCTCCGTCTCCAGCAGCTGGAACACATCCCATGAACAGCCAGGGAAATTGTGCCTCTTGCAGATGAGATACAGAGATATGATTATGCCAGGCTTCTTTTTTTGAAAAAAAAAAAAAATAAAGATGTTTGAGTCACATTAATGATAAGACAAATTCTCTGTCCTACTGACCAGGTGCCGCAGAGTCTCGTGCTGTCAGAAAGGAAGAACTTTCTTTAATGAGACAATTTTCCTGGTTAAGTTCCAGCCTAGTGCATGAACAGGTACCAGAGAATCCAGCCAGAGAACACCTCACTCCTGCTACCAATGGCTGCTGATGTGGAACTGCCCCAGGAGCAAAGGCTTTGGAGCTCCCTCACTAAAAAATCTAGAAATCTTTTTGGTAAGGCGCTCCGCTTCTAGGAAGTGAATCAACTGAATCTCCTATTTCATTTTTGGACACAAGCTTTATTGTCTCACCAGCACTTGTGACATCCTGCTCGGCCCAGAGGTGCCTCACTGCCTGTGACTCTGGGGCTATTTCTGGAGCGAGCAGCAGCTCCGTGGAGGAGCAGCAATTCCATGCAGGTCGGTGCCCGCTGACCTTTGCGGGTGAGCGATTCCACCTCCTCTGCCAACCCTGCTGACCTGCCCTCAGCCCTCTCCCAAGGCATCTGGAATGTAAATGCTTCAAATGCATTTCCCTCAAGGAACTCCTTCAGCACTGGGATTTATTTTTAGCTCAGCCGTGTTCAACAGGCAGCAGAAACACAGGGAGGAACTGGAGGCTTCCACCTTCACAGCATAGGGACATGAATGCATTAAAAGGTGAAGCATAATCAAATATTTCTGGAAAATAACTGTCTTAAGCCAACGCTTCACTGGTTCCTGAAAAAGGTTGTTGAATTTCTGCTCTCCTTACCTGTAGGCACTGAATCAGAAGCCAGGGATTTTGTTGTGATGGTTTAGTGAACTCTCAAGTCTGACTAGAAATAAATTTATCTCCAGGCAACTGGCCAACCTGGAGACGAAGGATGAATTCTGCTCAAGCAGCCTCCCAGGCAGTTTATCCCAGCTCTAGTAAGTAGCAGAGGGAGGTGAGGAGCCCTTCCTTCTGCGCTGGTAAAGAGAGATGATGGAAATAACGCTGCCTGCAAACCAGGATCCTCCTGCTCTGTCCTGCCTGGTCTTATTTGCTCAAAAAGGCACAAAAAATGATGCCAGCACAAACGCGTCTCGTAGAAAAATCATGTTGAATTATCATCACACAACTGGAGAAAGCTCTAAGCTTTGCTTCACACACAAACTTCTCATGTGCATAAAAGGCGACATAAAAGAATGGTTTGGTTCAAAAAAAACATTGGGCTGATTTCATTTTTAAGCAAGTTCTTACTAAAGCCTGCAAAACACATCAGCCACTGATCCTGGGGGCCAAGGCCTCTCTCAACCCGTTTTCCAGGTGGATTTTAAAGACAACATACAGGACACCCAACACCAACAGGATTGTCATGCCCCTGTTTTTGACAGAGCACTAAATTCCCACACCAACAGGAGAGTTGTCACTGGAGAATGGAACAAACAAACACGAAAGTGGAATTCACAGTCTCACACAAATTTCCAACATAGAAGTTGCCCAAGACACCTGAGAAAATAACCTACAGCTGCTATCACTAACAAGTCAAGCTTGGTAACCAGCAAGGGAACTGCCAGGCTCCTCTCTGGGCAAGCTCCCCATCTTCTCCTTTTATATGGGCAAGAAAATTTTCTTGAAGAGTTAAAGCACAGTCCCAGGCTCACCCAGGATTGCAGCAGGGTCTGAATCTTAATTTGCAGCAGATGACTCAGGAATTTTCTCCTTGATAGTAAATTAATGGCCCTCCTGGGCCAGACCTGTGAGTGAGGCAGAGGCAGCACAATTGATTTTGTGCCACTTTAAGCACTGCAAGTGCTCCAATCCTCCAAGTACGTGGAAAATCCCAGGAAGATCCCAGGAGGATGCTCCTGAACCCATCAGCAGGGGTAGGAGAGCACCAGCACCAACTGTTCCAGCTGCAGGTATGGAAACAAAGCAAGGCAATCACACTGCAGGATTCCCTGGGAAAGGCACATTCAGGTACAAGAGGACACACTGAGCTGGCAAAATGAGCTTTTTTCCTGCTCTGCTGATCTGAATCAGTGTCCAGGGTTCAGGGGAGGAGGAAAAGGCAGCTCTGGCAAGAGCACATCAGCCACAGGCACTGCCAGAGCCAGCTGCCTGCCCAGCACACACCCCAAACCCCCAGTGCACCCAGAGGGGTGGGCTGGGAGCTCAGGACAAGGAACAAAAACCTGGAGGAAATGAAGCTTTACTAGTTCTGCTGCTCATGGAACAACTTGTTTTAATAAAGAAAAATTACTGAAGCCATCCAAGAACAGAAGGTTCAGGTTTCAAAGCTGAAAATAAGTTGGGGTCAGATGCAAAAAGCAGCCTGCAGCAACACCATCTGTTCCTCGGGACAGCTTTTATTTCCTTCCATCTGAGCTAAGGAAAATGTGGGTTGGAATTTCAGCTATTTTACTTTGCTCTATTAGGCTCAAAGCCTGAATCTACTACAGATTACTGCTGGGCAAGAGAACTGTGGTGGAACACCCAAATCTTTGCTCTAAGACATGCACTACTGAAGGTGCAAATCCCACCCAGGAGGGCTGTGGACACGTTTGGAAGATGCTGATTCCAGGCCAGCTGGGCAAACTCGGCCATCTCAGAGAGGGCCAGACTCATTCATCTAATTTGGTACTGCATGACACCTTTATTTGCTTCTACACTTGTGAAATGAAATGAAATAGAAATGAAATTCCATACCAGAATGAAGAACTTTCAGACACTGCAGTTGTTTTTGTGAAGTGTGAGTACACAGAGTAAGGGACAGTGACTTTGAGCCACCACTTGCACTGGTTATGACCAACGAGGAAGGGTTCAAAGGCCATCATCTCATCATTTATCTGTGGGCCCTGCAGTACTTAAAAAAAAAATCTTCCTACTTTAGCACTGAAAGATATCAATATCTGTGTCCTAAATCACTAACAAAATACACGAAACAGGAAAGATTATCTATAAAGCATGTTTAGAAGAGGGAAAAAAAAGTTCCAGCAACTAGATCAAAGTACTGCCGTGATGGACTATTCTTGATATTGGCACCAATTGCCTGTTTGATCACAGATCAAGCACAGATTATCTGGCTTTTGACTCCCATGAAGAAAGAACAACCAACACTCCTGCAGTGTTTTAAAATTTGACATTTCCTAAGTATTTAAAGGTCAGGATGTAAAGAATGCTCTAAGTGAAAAAGGAACTGGTGCTGAGTGTCACAGATGAGTGTGTTTTTTTCAAAGTGGCTCTATAATAAGTTAAAGGCATCTATTTCTAAACCATGATGTTCACCAGTTGCTCACACCCATAAAAACCCCTTATTCCTAAGCAAAGAACACACTCCATGAGCACCACGACCTGTTTAAAAAGGGCACACACCTTCCACAAGGTGAACTTTAGAACACACGTGGAGTCCCCAGCTCTGTAAAACTGACTGCAGCCCTTTTCAGCAACCTGTCAAAAATAAGAGGTTTCTTCTGAAGAGGCTGCTCTGACCCAGAGTGCTGTGTGTCTGCTGTCACTCTGCACAAACAATGCCCAACAACTCCAGTCACTTCCAATTTCATGCAGACAACAGGGAGCATGACAAGTGTTGGTACCTGTCTACTTTAATACTTGTGCTGGTACAGACTAATAGAGATAAGGACCACCTCAAACTAGGACAAGGACTTGAACTCAAACTGGGACAGAGGGATCACAGCCTTCACTCAGAATCAACATTTCATTTTTGGAACAGAAAGAGGGAAAAGTTAGGTAACTTTAGATGACAATTATTTCTGCAATAACATGGATAAACCCAAACACGTACACAGTAAAATTAAAACAGTGAATGCAGAAGTTAAAATGTTCATTTAGGGAAGCATGTTTTGGAAAAAAAATGCACACCATGCAAAAGAGAATGAATTGGGAAGATACAGTCTACTGTCATCCTCAAAAGCCACAAGCAACAGGAAGGGTCACAAATTCTTACAGCTCTTCCAACCAGCTCTTATTAAAAATTGGAAAAGGCACACCAAAGTCAAGGACAGAAATCCCACACATTTCTCCCACGGCTTTGAGCAGCACTGCTCATTGCCATGGGCGAAACTGGATTTTCCCTCTCCCACTTTGAGCCTCAAACTGGAACTGCTCAGCTAACCTGTGTCCCCATGAATGGCTGTCCCAGGAGAGAAGCAAAGAGCTCAAACCTACTCAGAAACCAGCCTCAGCTCCAAATGACCCCAGAACACCTGGATTGACGTGGAAGGGAGAGCAAGGCCTCCCAGCTGGGTGCTCCTGTCTTCCCCAACACTCCTGCTGTGCTCCAACAACATCCCCCCTGCACCCAGCAAAGAGCTCGAGGCTGGGGATGTGGGGGTAATTCTGTGTGCAGCCCCTCAGCAGCAGCACAAATGGGGAAGGCCTCACACCCCTGAAGCTCTGCCAGCACCACTGGCAGCTGCAGGGTGCTCATGTCAGACAGCTCCGTGTCAGCTCCTCCACCTGCACCGCCCAAGGCTGGGGGTGCCCAGGTGAGCCGGGGGTGCCCAGGTGAGCCAGGGGTGCCCAGGTGAGCCGGGGGTGCCCAGGTGAGCTGGGGGTGAGCCAGGTGAGCCAGGGGTGCCCAGGTGAGCCGGGGGTGCCCAGGTGAGCCAGGGGTGCCCAGGTGAGCCGGGGGTGCCCAGGTGAGCTGGGGGTGCCCAGGTGAGCTAGGGGTGAGCCAGGGGTGCCCAGATGAGCTGGGGGTGCCCAGGTGAGCCAGGGGTGAGCCAGGGGTGCCCAGGGGAGCCGGGGGTGCCCAGGTGAGCCAGGGGTGCCCAGGTGAGCCGGGGGTGAGCCAGGGGTGCCCAGATGAGCTGGGGGTGAGCCAGGGGTGCCCAGATGAGCCAGGGGTGCCCAGATGAGCCAGGGGTGCCCAGGGGAGATGGGGGGGAGCCGGTGGGGCCCAGATGAGCCAGGGGTGCCCAGGTGAGCCGGGGGTGAGCCAGGGGTGCCCAGGTGAGCCAGGGGTGCCCAGGTGAGCCAGGGGTGAGCCAGGGGTGCCCAGGTGAGCCAGGGGTGCCCAGGTGAGCTGGGGGTGCCCAGGTGAGCCGGGGGTGAGCCGGGGGTGAGCCGGGGGTGAGCCGGGGGTGCCCAGGTGAGCCGGGGGTGCCCAGGTGAGCCAGGGGTGAGCCAGGGGTGCCCAGGTGAGCCGGGGTGCCCAGGTGATTCCCTGCTGCTCCTGGTGCTCCAAGCTGCTGCCGTTCCGTGCTGGGAGCAGCCGGGCAGAGGTGCCTCGCTGGGCAGAGCTCACCCCTGCCAGGCTGCCAGGGCTTGAGTTACACTGGCAGCGGGCAGGGCTCCACGTGAGCAGGGAACACCAGCCGAGGAGCAGGATTATCTCAGCCAGCCCAAACCAGTTCCTGCACGGCCGGAGCTGTGCCAGGGCTCCCTTCCAGGCAGCGCTGTCATGGAAAGAGCGCGGCTCTCCCAGGGCGCCGCTGCCCGCGCAGGGAGTGCCCCTGCACATTTATTTTAAGGGTTGAGAGGCAAACTCTGCACCTCTTGAATGAACCCTGGGCTTCTGTATCAAATCGCCTCATTATTAATAATGCTTGGGCTGAAAAGCAGGAGTCTGCAGCTAAAAATATTTCTATTGTTCTGGTTACACTCACTTTGGCTTGTAAGGCAGTTGAAAGGTTGCCGAGTTACTGGAAAAGCAGGAGCTGGGTTACAAGCTGGAAATAAAATTTGCAAGCAGCAATTCTCAGTATTAGAGGGACCTAAAGACACTTAAAAAAATAAACTTTGACTGTATAATCTCTTTCTGATAAACTGCTAGATTATAAAAACATCCAAAGAGAAACATGCAATTCGAGATCTGCCACGTTTGGTTAGTCCAACAGTCTGAATATTCAGTTTTGTTAGACAGCAGCACGTACTTCCAAATAATTCAGGAAAAAACCTGCATATACCAGACAATTCAAAAAAGCACCTACAGGAGAAGCTTCCTCCCAGGTGCCATCAATTAGCTCTTGCTTTCTGTTCTGCACAGAGCCCAAAGATTTACAACCCTCTCAAAAGCATTTTTAATCCTGCCTTATGTAACTGTGAACCTACTTGGCCCTTCCATCTATAATCATGCAGTCATTTCTGAACCTAAGCATCTCCCCAATTGGTTAATATTCAGAAGCAAATTCTAAAGACATGTTGTACATACACTGCAGTCAACTGCTATTTACTGCCTTTACACTTCTTAAGAAGACAAAAATTGTTCTTCCAGCAGCTTTAAGAGAAAAATGTGCCTTCTCCCTACAGCCCATTGATCTGTGTTTGATCTGCTTTTTGATCTCCTTCCTGAAAGAGCTTCAAGCAAAAAAGAGAAAATAAACCAACCAATCCATGCACACTTTAGGAACTGCTGCTGGTAACTTATGGCAAATTTCATTTATTCACATAAACCTCACTATGTATTCTAAACCAAAAACATACCTAGGTCCCTATATTTTGATTGCTTTTAGTGGTTCCTAGGGATTTATTTCCACCTTCTACCCAAGTACTAGACAGGTCCACAAAGGCACAGCTGAATTCTGAAGCTCTCTTACAGAGAAAATGAAGCATAGACTATATATACACTGAACTGACTAGAGCTGAACTTTATTTTCAGTTAAAGGTATCAGGCAAGGACAAGCTCATTCCAGCTGAGAGGTTTAATTACATTCCCATGTTCTGTTATTTAGGACTCCATTTTCCTCCCACGTGGGATGGGGATATCACCAGTGACCCTGTCTGCCTCTCCACCTCAAGGAGAAGAAGGAAGAGCGATGAAAACAAACGCAGAGAACCCGGGCTAACAGGGCAGGGTGAAGGCACTCACCTCCTCACAGACCTCGCGCACGGCGGCCACGCCGGGCTCCTCCTCGGGCTCCATGCCACCCCCGGGGACAATCCATCGGTCTGGATGGCGACTACTGCTCACCAGCAGCACCTGTGGAGGGCAGAGACAGCTGATGGGACACCCCCAGCGCTCCCCTTCAGAGCCCAGCTGAAGGGAAGAGATTGTCTTTGCGCCTCACGCACCCCCGGGCACGACCCACCCAAGGCAGGGCCTTGCCGCTGCTCGCTTCTCCCTCAGCCCCATCCACACAGCCGTGGAAATTCCAGCAGCAGTGACACCGAGGCACTCCCACGCTCTGTGTCACCTCAGCCACTGCCTCTCCCTGCTCTGATGCACTGCAGGAGAAACTGTCCTTGCACACCAAAACGCTGGCTAGCACTGGGCACAGCATCACCCACAGGGAGTTCACTGCGGAGTTCTCGCAGCTTGGGACACACCCCAGGTAACAACACAACTGCACAGACGCTGCTCAGCACCTCCACCCTTTGCAGAAGTACCTCGATTTAATTCTCCTGCTGCCTTTGGCCTTGCCTGTCCCTGCAGTTCTGTCACCAACAACACATACTCATCCAGGAACTCCCACTGCACTATTAGTGTGCAATTGTCTGAACACAGATTCTCAGCCCCACTGTTTGCCACTTCTTTTGCAGCAGGCACTGAGGATTCAGCTCTGGAGCCACAATTTGGCTGCTTTTGGTTTAGAGGAGGTTGTTTAATGAGGTATAAGCAAAATAAAAGCCTATATTAAACCTATTAAACTTAAAATCCCCTAGGAAAGGGCTGCACGGAAGGACAGACTTTTGTGAATGAGAAAAGAGGTTCAACCCTCTTCCCAGGAGGGATTTACCATACACAGGCTTTGTGGCAGGTTTTCTTGAAACAGTATGTTTTATTCCAGGGTAATTCTGCTCTGTAGAAGTTCAGGTTCTGATCTGCCACCTCTCAGCAAGACAAACTCTAAGTAACACTCTCAGCTGGCTACAGACTGTCCCAAAGAACAGCGAGACGCTGTGCTTATTAAATCTACTTGCAATACACCCATGAGCAGAGATGGAAACTTAAAACAACACCAATACTGTTGTCCAGCTCTCTAAACAAAGCTCGTTCATGAGAGTCATCCTGCTGTACTTCATCATTTCACGGGCACAAAGCTCAGAGCCAAAGCGACTTGCTCCAGAAACTTTCCAACATACCAGTCCAATTAGGTTCCAGGCCAGCTGTAACAGTGTCAGACATTTGGGAGTTACACTGCAGAGACACTGAAATCCCAGGCTTTACTGGGGAAACAGTGATTTGCCAGTAGGATATGAAAAGATTTGCACTAATTACCCAAAGGAATCTACCTACAGAACTCAAATTAAACTTCCAAAACAAAAACAAGCACAAGATTTCCAGGATTTTTCAGTTGGTTTATCTTGAAAATTCTCTGACCAATCTCATATTGGAAACAAATGAAGCTGCATGAGCCACCTCAGTTCCCCAGTTCCAAGTGGGATGGTGCCTGCCCCATCCTCTGGCCAGGTTGTGACAGAACAGCGTGTGCTTTACAGTGTCATCCCAAATGTTTGGCCCTCTCCAAGAGGAAGGCAGAATTCCTTTCCTCCAGGCATCCAGTCCATGTAAAACTCCACCAGAAAGCCATGCCTAAATAGGGAATGTAAACTTCATTCATCCTCAGGGCCCTTGGGACAGCAGCCAGTCCCAGCCAGGCTCCCCAGCCACCTCACTTTGCCACTGTGCCTCTTCCTAGCACAGTACTCGACTTCTTGTCCATCCCCACTCATCATCCAAAAGAGTCTGGGCTCAAATTCCTGACTCCAGGTCAGCTGGTGATTCTGAGGACAAAGATAAAAGAGCAGGAACAGCCATTTCAAGTGCACCTTTGCTGCCAGGTAGGGAAGCACCAGCTCTGCCACTTCCCATTGTAATTCAGACCTCCAGCTCGAGGGGAAAAAAAGGAAGAAAAATATTAAAAAACCTCCAAAGAACCAGATCTTTGAAACTCAGCACAGCACATCTCACAGCCCTGAACTCCTGCCACCTTTCCAGGCGTGAGAACAAGGATCTGCTACGGAACCCTGGACACAGGCTGCTCCAGGAAACCTGCTCAGGCTGAGACAATGCCTCAGCAACACACCAGGAGGAACTTCTGGGTGCAAACAATGGTTTGAGGCAAAGTAAATTAACTTCAGCTGCTCTGGCAGTTGAGCATTTTCTGAATAGAATTAACATGAACAACCCTTGCTGGGAAGGAAAAACCTGTCATTCTCACACTTTTATGTAATCAGACTATTTCCTGTTTAATAAAAAGGAAATCCCATCAAGAGACTGCAGGAAACAAGCCCTACAAGGTCATTCTTTTAAAACAACTTCAAACAGGATATTGCTACCAATGAGCTCTCCCAAGACAAAGGGGCTGAGTTCCAAAGGAGGGGGAGACATTGCTGTGTTGGAAAAAACCCCACACTTCCAACACCAGCCCTGGATCCCGATACATGCAATGCATTCAGAGGGATCAAGGAAAAAGCTGTCATCATCCAAACCCCAAAAAGGTTTGGGTTGGAAGGGACCTTGAAGCCCATCTCATTCCATTCCCTACCACCTTCCAGTAGACCAGTGCAGGGTACAGCTGGCTTTTTAGCACATTAACTTCTTTATTACATAAATAACTTTTATTTTAATACATTCTAAAGTGGTTAATTTAATCTAAACAGCCATCAAAAAATAAACCAAAATTTAGTTATGTTTTTAAATCAGGCTAGAACACGTAGGAAGGTCAGACATTTCCATTTTATCCTTGCCAAGCAACTGTGTTTAAAATGGCTACTGAGACTCTTGGCCTGCCAGGAATTTTGGAGTTGGATTTTGGAGCCACGTCCTGCAGACTTTTTGGAAAAGCATTTGCAGGTAACATGTCACATGGCCAAGTTGTGTTTTCCAGGATTTCAAAGACAATTATGTCATTTCAAAGCAGGGAAATGAGCAACGCAAGCCTCTCTGGCAAGGCAGGAGGTGGCCCTGCTGAAACTCTCCCACACAATCCCCCACAAAAGGGAAAGTTTAGAAAAATAAGCCAAGTTTGAAGTGTGCAGCAGGGGCTCGAAGCAGAGCCTCATGGCAAGAACCTTCAAAGCTGCACACAACAAACAAACCCAAACAAACCTGAGCAGTACTAACCCTGCCTGGAGGAGACAGGAAACACACCAAGACATCTAAGGCTGCCCAGACAGCAACATGGAATAAGGAGCTCCATGGGAAAAGGGGTAAAGAGTTTGTCCCTGGGATAAACCTGGGCACCCCCCATACACAAAGCTGACTTTAAAACAACTGACACAAACCTGCTGTATCCACGTGGAGAGGTTTTTCTGTCTTCTTTTCACAGCAATAATGGGGCTCTGCAAAGCAAGAACTGGGCGACCAGGATCAGGCAGAGAATTAACTCCCCATTTGTGGAACAGAGGAGCAGAGATTCCCAGGTTGTTCCACGCTATGGTAGATTCAAACAATATCCACCACCCATAAATAAAACAAGAGCGGCTCCACCATAAGGAACACGATTCCTCGAAAGAGGCTCCACAGCAGCATTCCAGCAGACAGAAAGGGCCACATCCCTGCAAGGAGCTGGGTCACAGCATGAGTAGGAAATGGGCTGAGAACCTTCCAGACTTCCAGGAAAAGCCAGTGCCACCCACCTGTGCCAGCCGGGGCCCGGCGAGCTGGCAGCCAGCACAGGGAGCAGCAGGCAAGATGTTAAACCCAGGGTCTGGCCCAGCAGCCTCCTGCTGCCAGGAGCTGATCCATAGTTGCTGGCTCCTGACACAGCCTCTGCACTGCCTTACAAGCTTCCCCTCAATATTTTCAGGCTTTCCCTCAATATTGACATGCTTTCCATCAATACTGTCGTGCTTTGTATCAACATTAAGCTATAAATCACATCGTTTGCACAGAGATTGAAGCACAAACCTCCCGGCATTGTACCTCATTTCCCGCTCCAGCATCATTTATCAGAGCACAGCCTGCAAGGAAACTCTGCTGCCGCAGAGGCTGCAGGAGCTGAGAGGAGAAGATGGCTGACTGCAAGGCTTTTGCTGTTCAATCTGCCTTTGTTTCAAAGTTTCAGTTTAAAATGAGTGTGTTCTCGGGAGCTGAGCTGTGCTCCCATGTGCCCCATGGCCAGGCAGATCCCAGAGCTGGTGCTGCGTCCAGCATAACAAACACCTTGGGTGCTTCACTCAAAATTAACAAAATTCTCCCAATCCCCAAATATCAGTCCTGTAATGCTTTTCTACCTGACAAAAGTGAGATGTCCATTTGATCACACCAAATCACCTTTAAGCCCTACGACCAGCAAGGGGTGAGAACTGGAGGAGCAGGGGGAGAAGAGGGACACTGCTGTCACCAAAGCTGTGCAAAATTAATCTCATTTCCCTGGCAGCAACACAGCCTCGATGACTCCCCACCAAATCACGTGTTTTGCCAAAATGCAAAGGCAGTTTGCCCCAGGGTGCACGCCAGGGCTCGCGGGAGGGCTTCTCCCACCCTCTTGCTATTCCAGGCACGTTCTGGAGCTCGCACATGGTAGGAGTGAATCCAGCCGGCGGTCAGCAGGGCTACAGCCAGCCCTGCACCTGCCAGGGTCAGCAGCTGGGACCACAACACACACTCTCACCAGAAATCCCTCCCTGCCATAACAGCCTGTCCTGCCAGGAGCATTCCAGCTCCTCAACAGGATATGTTTCCTTAGAGGAGTGTTATTTTTGCACAGGCACCTGCACCAGGCTCAGTGGGATAATGGGATTTAACTGCCAACGTGGGGATCCAGAAGCTGGAGGTGGGAAATTCACGGCAGGACGCGCACTAGGGAACTTGACAAAAGTAAAGCACAAGTTTTGGAGTGGGAGCAAGAGGTGAACTGGAAGGAGTTCAAGTCATTTCAAGTGCTTGGATCGCACCTACAGTCCTATAACCAGAGAGGAAAAAATACAGCAGATTCTGTTGGTTTTTAGGCTGCTGGTTAGAATAACAATAATAAATCACCGCGTACCGCGCTGCTGCTCTGGCTCCAGAACTCCACAGGTCCTGTTTCTGCTACTGCAGCGCTCCTGCGACTTCAGAGCCACTGCTTCTACCAGGGAGGAACACAACCCCAAGTCCTCCCCCTCCAGCGAAATTATGGTTTAGATAAGCACAGAAATTATCTGCAACGTGCCTTCCCATGCTTCAGGAGCAGCTGAACCGCCTGCAGCGGCAGCCGCTGCTTTCAGAAGCCGAGGGCTGATAAGGGGCACTCCCAGAGAGAGACCCCAAACCCCAGAGTCTATTTCTGCCTGTCAAAACCAGTTTGGTGACCACTCAGTGCTTACACAACTTGTCCAGGCGCACCTTTTCCAGGATAAAGGCTGGCTTGTAAAGTGCTTTTTTCAGTAAGGGAGGAAAAAAAGCAATGAAGAGGTATTTGGGCTTTTTACAGAGCTGTCAGCAGCTGCACGCTGTTCTGATTAACCACCCTATTCAGGACATACAGCATGCACAAACTCTTGGGAAGCTGCTCAAATAGAAGTAGTTAATTCTACACACAGCATCAGTCTATGTCACCTGCAGGAGGAGAAGTAACCCCTGAAACATCTGACAAAAATCTACCCAGCAGGTAATCGTACCCCTCCGAATTTCACAGGTTAATGTGAAATTTCTGAGAACAAAGAGTCAGTGTGCCATATCCAGTGGCAGAGATAGGAATTCTGAAACAAACACACACAGAATTTGAGAGATCTTTGCTCTGTGCAGTCAGTCCTTCAGCTGGGTTGAAAAAGAACAAGTTTAAAGAGAGGCCCTGTTTCCCAACCACTGGATGTCACCTACAGCACTCCCACGTGGATGTTTGCTATTTGTAAGGTAGAACTGAGTTTGCTAATTTTGCTCTATGCAAGCAAACCAGGACAACTCTCCTTATTTTAAAAGAACTTAGAAGTCCATGCACACGGTTGGGGTTTTTTTTTGGTTTTTTTTTTATTAAGAAGGGAAAGAGTTGTTTTTTCCAGATTGTCAGAGACCATCCATGGAAAGATAAGGTCCCCTGGCAGCAGTCCCTGCTGGGTGCACCCCCAAATGCTGGTACCTGTCTCCACACTGCAGAAGTTTATCTGAAGGGTGCTGAGATGAACCAAGTCAGGCAACTGGGTGTGAGGCTTTTTTTAAAAAAGAGGGGGTACAGAACACACGGAGTGAGGAGAAAAAGGTAGGAAAAACAGCTCCTAGGTGCTGAGATGAACCAAGTCAGGCAACTGGGCGTGAAGGCTTTTTTAAAAAAAGAGGGGGTACAGAACACATGGAGTGAGGAGAAAAAGCAGCTCCTAGTCAAGCACTAAATGGATCTGAGGTGGAAGAAATTCCAAAGCAGTGTTCTGCAGAGAACACACACAGCGACCACTGTTGGGTCCTTCTTTCAGATCCAGGGTGGAGCACACCCTCTTTCCATAGTCATCACTTTTCCCTGAGTTGCAGCAGAACAAAACTGACTCAGTTCTTCAGTTTCACAACAGCTCGCCGAGCTTCCAGTAAATGAAGTGAAAATTTAACAATTTTCATTCTTTTGTTGTCTGGAAAAGTACAAGAGACCAAGGAATTGCTTGTAAAACTGTTTAGTGACAGCTGCTTTTGTGGGAAGGCAAAACACTTTTTAAGATGAAAGCCAGGTTTTGCAGAGGTTTATCCATGCTCCTGCTCTTGGAGAATACAAACTACAGATTCTACACAATCTGCAGGGCTGAGAGGGACAGGAGAGGCACAGACAAGAAAAAGACACACACCAAGCTGGCCCTTGTCCCCCTGGAGATGTGGTAACAGGTTAGCAACAGACCAGGAGAACTTCACTCGGGTTCAAGCTCAACCCTTTTATACAGCAGATGGGAGCACACAGCCAAGCCCAGCCACCAGAACAGGGATTCTGAGGCTGTATTCCACAGAAAGCAGGATGATCATATGATGCTGGGCTCACTTACATCCCAGCACCGAAGCACTCGGAGTGGTTTTAGCTGGAGCCAAGGCACAGGGGACAGCCCAGGAGCACCTCGTGATCCCCGCCACACATTGGGTTCCAATCCCAGCTCTGCTGTGTTACATCACAGCTGGAGTAAAACCCGGGAGAGGCCAGAAGGAAAAGAAAAAAGGTTGGTTTGCATTCCAATGGCTTTCCCAGGGGCCACCCGGCCCAGCTCTCCCCGTGACCACCGTGACCACCGAGGCTCAGCGCGTGCCAGGGCACCGGCCCCTGGGTGAAGCCTCTCTTCCCCCAGCTCCATTCAGGCCTCATTCACTGCTCAGAAAAGATTCTTCCCGATTGGTTTTCTCAAAAAAAAAAAAAAAAGAAAAAGAAAAAAAAAAGTCTTTAAAAACGCCCGTGGTTAACGAGCAGCTTGTCCTTTCACAGCTACAATGCGGGCATGTTGAAACCCGCTGCTGCCCCAGCGCAGACCCACGGCCCAGTGGTGCCTCTTTATCCTGACAAACCCCACCGGAGCAGGGCTCCAGCTGTGGGCCAGGAGAGGCATTTTCTGGGATGTTTCCTCATGGAACAGCTGGTCCACACACAAAAAAAACCACCAAAAAACGTGTGTTATGTAAAAATAACACCCTGGTGGCAATGCTGAGGGGCAGGGACGCCCCAAGCAACGAAGTGACTGCAGAGGTACCACAGGATTTGGGAGCTCTCCCTTCACTCTCCTTCCACAGTTCTGCAAATATTCCAGGAGTTGAGTCCATGTGAAAAGATGGGAATAGCAAAGTTCTGGCTGCTGGAAGGTCCTTTGAAGTGTGTTCCCACTCTGAATGAATCCCGTTGCTGCCCCAGCTCTCCCTGTTGCCCAAGGATGTGGATCGTGGTTTGGGAAGCCACACACAATTTGGGGGGTTTCCACAATGCCCAAAAAAATGTAAATTTTTTTTTCTCCATTTGAGATTCACGTTGAAATGAATTCTCCCTGTGCTGCTTTTTAAAGGAATATGTAACAAAGGCATCTTTTCAGCCAATGCTTGGTCTTCCAAAAACGTTCCAGAGCTTTTTTCATGCCCAAAGTAGAGGCCTCCAAATGCAATGCAGAGACAATGTGCGACTTCCAGCAGCATAAGGAAAAAATAAATCACTCAAAAACTAAAAAAGAACAAAGTATTTTTCTGTTAAGACTCTTTATTTGCAAATGTAACACCAAACCAAGGACATGGTGTTTTATCAGTCTCCAGGGATTGCAAAGATTTCAATGAAAAATATATCAGTGAACTGAAGAGTCAGGGGGAAACACCTAAACAGAAGAAAGTAGCCTCCTCTGTAAGAGTAAACAAAATTCACTTATTTCCTCTTGTCCATTGACAAACTGTTTTAATTCAAGAACTAATGAGCGGTTAAAAACAAGAAAAAAAATTGGATTTTTTAAATTCATAACAGGAAATGAAGAAAAAAGGCAAGACCAAAGTTCTACTATTTCTTAAGCACTTAAAAGTAACAGTAATGAGAAACAGCCAGTCATAGGAAAAATCCAACTTTAATATAGAAAGTTTAATTTATTTATCAAAACATGCTTCTTTTCTTCTCTCTTCTTTTCAAACACTAAGCTTTTAATAGCTCTTTAATGTACATACTTTGGCTCTGGCTCTTTCTCCCCTCCCTGGAGAGACCTTTTAAAGAGATCTCCATTTCCACTTAAATAGAAGCAATCAATAATAAAATACGTCAGTAACATGAAAAAGTATTATTGTCCAAGAGCAAACCAGAAATCTTTCACAGCCATTTTATATTCTGTACTTAAATGTGTACAGGTAATAACTTCCTTGCTATTAAAAAAGTGCAAGTTGCAGTGAGTGGACACCAGTCAGCTTCTCTCAAAGTTTATTTAAAAGCCAACAAATGAGAATTATTTCCCAAGAAGTCATTAGAAAGGAAAATTAATAAGGTGTCCTGCTTGCTGATTTCACTCATTGACACAAGTTTAACTTCAACACCTTTTGGCCAAGGCCAAGTTGAGGATCTGGGCACAGAGTCCATCCCAGTGGGGTTAATTCTGTGGGACTGGCTAAGAACTTTCCCGATGTATTTGTGACAAGCCCCCTTCCACACCAGGGCTGTAACAGGTGGGAACAGAGCATGCAGCTTCAGCTCAGGGTTCAACCCACAGGTACCACACACAGCCCTTCAGAGGCTCTGAGATCAGACCTGTCCCTCCCTGCCTCATCCTCACCCACAGCACATCCCGGGAAACCACCCCAGCCCGGAGTGCAGCCCTTCCACAGCAGCCACTGCTCCCTCCTGAGCTGTCCCAGGGCAGCAGAGCCACTGCCAGCTGTCACTGCGAGCTCAGGGACCGGGCCACCAACAGCGACCACAGGGACAACAGGAGCTCACCCAGAGCCTGCACTGCCCTGCTCACAAAAACCTCCCCAGAGCTCACAGAGCCCTGGGAATGACCCAGCACAGGGAGCCAGCTCCCTCAAACCCGGCCTGAAACCAGAAACAGATCGTTCTACTCCAGCTCTCACCTAGAAACTAGAGCCTGAAGGAGTTTAAATTCAATCCACTGTAGGTGGAGACCACAGCAGAGACACAAGTGACACAAAAGTGGTTTTAAATCTCAGCCTTACACCAACCTGACAGCTGAGCCTGCTGGAAGCATCCATCCCACGCCAGCGTGCCTCGGGAACGAGTTCACTTTCCTCCTTGGACCTCCTGGGTCAGCACTGTGACACTGCCACACAGCCTGGTGTCCCAGCACCGTGAGGGCTCTGACCCCTGTCATTAACACACCTCGGTGTCCCCAGCACCACGAGGGCTCTGTCACCAGCTCCCACGGGCTGGAAGGATCAGCTGGAGCCTGTGCAACACAGCAGACCGAGGTGTGTTAAAATAAAACTCACAACCAGTCACATGCTGATTGCCTCAGGCACCTGTTAAAAGTCCTTTTCTACCCTAAGCCACCCTGCAGTCACACACGGCCAAACCTCCACCTCTGGAGAAGAGCCTGCAAATTGCCCCACTAATTGTGAACGATTCATCAGGGCGCTCCAACGCCCTCACCCCTCCATGCTGAGCACCCCCAGCATCACCACACAGAACAATGATGGTCTTCTTCATGGTCAGTCCATAAATTTCCTGGAAGTCCGTGGGAAGGATCAGTTACACTGAGCGCTGCACCAGACACACTGCTGTCATTTCAGGCCATTTCTGCTGAAATGCTGACACTCCTCATCACGCCAGCACAGTTACAAAGGGCTTGTGCAGTCTCCTTCACGTTAAATAATAACTGGATGCATGCTAATTGCCTTTCCTCCAGTGAACTGTCTGCATTCCCTTCCGATTTCCTGTAGCTACAAATATGATAATCAGGAGAACAAAGACTTTAGCACAGCCACTCGGGCACAGCAAATGCAGTGGAGTGTGTACGCCTGACTCCAGCAGCAGCAAAGGCAGACCTGCAGCCTCGCTGCTCTGAGCACCCCGAGCCCACCTTCAGGAGGTGTCAACAAAGATTCGAGTAAAATCGCCCATCGGAGCGAAGTTTCTCACCGTAACTTCCCGGACAATGCAGCCCCTTAGCAACGCGGCCGCTCTCAAAACAACCAATCCACCTTTAATTCCCACTTCCTCCCAAACTCTCTGGACAGCAACTTCTGGCACTCCATCAGTCCCCTTTTATCCCAGTTTCTTTTTATAAATCCAAGGTCAGGTTTCCTCTCCCATCTCATGTGATGTGCTGGACTGAAGTTCTGCCAGCGTGGTCGGTGCCCGCACTGCCAAACCCCCTCCCGCGCTCCCCTCAGCCTGTCCCGCCGCCCACCGGGCATCTCCCCGGCTCCGGCGGACAGCAGTAACCCAGTGGGAAGCACCAACTCTCCCAGCGACGCTGAATGACGCCTATTAAAAATAAAACCCCGCTGGGACCGAGTCCCCCCACCCCCGGCGGCTCGGGGGTCCCGGGCCGGCCTCGCCCCTCACCTCCTCCTCGCTCTCGCTGCGGAAACACAGGCAGGCCGCCCGCTTCTTGTAGCCGTCCCCGTCGTAGGTGCGCGTCTGGTTGGACTTGAGCTTCATCATCCTCCGCTCCGGGGGCGGCGGGGCCGGAGGACGCGCGGCCCGGAGGGCGGGGGCGGGCGGGACCCACCGGGCGGAGAAGGACGGGGGGGCGCGGGGGAACCGCCTGCCCGCGACAGTCTCTCTCTGGGTCTCGCTTACGTGGGTCTCGCTACGCGCTGCCTCCCTTCGCCCGCCTCACCCCTGCCCTCGCTCCCGGCCGCGCCGCCGCCACCGCCCGCGCTCCGGCCACCGCCGACGACGACCGCGCCGCCATCTTGGGGCTCGCTACGCAAACGGCGTAGCGCCGCCGGGCGGGGAGGCGGTGCTGCCCCCGCGGGCTCACGGCTCGCCCGCTACGCGAAGTGCGCAGCGCGGCTTCCAGAATCGCTCCCCCCTCGCTGGCGGCGCCGCCACGCCCCCGCTCCGGCTCGCGCGCTCTGCGCCACTGGCGCATGCCGCGTTCGGGAATACGAGGGGCGGCGTAGAGCGGCGGCGGCGGGCGCTCGGCCTTTACGCGAACGGCGCAGGGGCCGGGCCGGCCGCGCGCACGTGGCCCCGCTGTGACAGCGGCTCCGCGGGGACAGCAGCGCCCGCCCTGCGCCGCGCGGGGGCGCTGCAGGCGCCGCGCAGTCCCCACCCCCCCCCGTGACACCGCGGGGCCGTGTCCCCTCCCCGGTGACATTCCGTGTGTGTGTGTGTGTCCATCCCCCGCCCTGACACTGCGGGTCGGTGTCCATTCCCCCTCTGGTGACAGCCGGCTGGGTGTCCATTCCCCTGCCGGTGACACCGCGGGTCGGTGTCCGTGTGTCCGCTGCCCCGGTCAGTGACCGCGCGTCGGTTGCCAAGTGTCCGCTCCCCCCGGCGGTGACACCGCGGCCATCCCGGGCCCGTTAACGATTAGTCACCGGCTGCCTGGCGACACCTGGCGGTGGGCGGCGGCCACTGCGCCACACGCCCCCCGCCCTCGGTCCCCCACAAGTGACAGCCCCGGTGACAGCGCAGGGCGCAGGACACGCGGAGCCGCCCACGGTGTCCCGATCTCAGGGACACCGGCCGGCACGGCTGAGTTTTCCACCTGCAGAACAGCTCAGCTCCAGCCCAGCCGGAAAGCAGCATGGCCCCGGGCAGATGGGAAACGCTCCTGCATTCCTCCAGGACTCACCTCCACACCCCCTAAACTTGGAGAGTTCCTTCTCCAGAACCTGCATTTAGTCGTTCCCAAAGTGCTGCTCCAGATGCCAAAGATCTGAGTCATGCTGTGCTTCGTGAGCTCTGTTTGTGCACTTCAGACAGACACAGGATGGACCCAGTGGCATTTTCACCTCTTTTATTATACACAAAACATGAGCACAAAGTTCTACTGCGGGGGCTGACCACGTCCACGACCGAATCCACCTCTCTGCAACAGCAAAAGGAGAGTGTTAGAAATCACTGTGTCAAGCAATGACAGCAAAAACATCATTAAAGCTCTCTGATGGCACAGGTCAGCCAGGTGAGTGCCACAAACATCAACTCACTCCAGCCAGCTCTGTGGATCACACCTAAAATACTTTTATTTTTGAAGTATAAAATCATGGATCTTCAAAGGGCTCAGTTTGCTCTCACTTGCCACTGGCCTCTGCCCACCACATCCTTTCCCCACAGCAAGCAAGCTGCATGTGAAGGGTGACAGTTTCCAGCCCCCCTGACAGTCTAGGAGTCCCACAGACAGGACCTTCCAGCTTTTCCCAAAGTCTTTAAAAAAGCAAAGTTCAAACGCAAACACTCACAAACTGGAATTCTGTGGCTGCTCCAGCACCAGCCTCAGCCTTCTTGTCAGCACCAGCTGCAGAAAGAGAAGCAGTCAGTGCTCACAGAACCCCCTGCCTGGGAGCAAAGCTTTAACCATCCCACAGGACTCAAACTGGGGCTAAACACAGCAAAATGGAACAGTTTGAGAGTTACCAAACCACCCCCAGGGAAAACCCCACAGCTCAGGCGGACAAAACTGCAGCACACCTCCCATCCACCCTCACGTACAGACTCTAAGCTATGCCAAGAGTCTCATGTTCCCCTTTTCTCCTTGAGAGGAGCCCCAGAGCTGGGACAATTGTCCCTGAGAGGGCAGGGGGCACACTCACGTGGCACGGCGCTGCGGCGGTACGTGTCCCGGTCAGCCTCGCCGCGCGTGAGCCGCGCCGGGCGCTCGCCCTCCAGACCTGCAACACACAGAGCACGGCTCACACACTGCTCAGCCAGGGCACAGACACGGAGCTCCTGCAGCCCAAGGTGCACAACAGCACCGGGTCTGCCAGCAGCGCCGCGCCTGGGGCAGCTCGGGGAGAATTCACCTAAGGAGAACAGGGATTTAGTAAGGGAAACCTCACTTGGAGGGTGAAATCCGCTCAAGCGTCCCAGCTGGAAGTTAAATAATGTGGGAAGTGGGTTTACAGCATCATCTCAACAGTTCTCTGGTCATCAAACTAGTGCTGAACGTTATTGTTGGTAAAAATCCCAGAAATCCTGGGAATCTGCCATGGCTGACAAGCCTGTGCACTGCTGAGTCCCAAACTGCAGGACAGCAGTCCCACCCCAACCTGAAACAGCCATGCTGTCAGCACCCCAAATCCCCCCACACAGAACACGTTCAGGACAGTAAAAGCAGATTATCTGGGGAATCTCAGATTAATACCAGACAAAACTGCTGCAGGAACACCCAGCCATGGTGGGATCACCTCATCTCAGGGACTGGGATGTGTCCCTGGAGCCCAGGCTGGGGTCTGCCCACCCAGGCAGGACCCACTGAGGGGCAGCTGTGCCTGGCACACCCCAGTGCCCCCCTGCACATCCACAGGCATTGCTTTGGCCATAAAAAATCCCAGTTCTTGTAATAATTCTTTTGCTACACCACCTCTGTGTCTCCCAGATTGCTGCTGCCTCAAGCAGGTCATCCACAGCAAAAAAACAACACCAAGGGCAGCCCTTCCAACCATCCCTGCCCAGATGGGGCTGAGGAGGGTTCCAGCACCAGGACAATCCTGGGACACCACACACAGCTGCTCCTGCACAAACTCCAGCCAGAAGCTGCCACCCCTCCCTCCCTCCCTCCCAGCAGGGATGCAGCTCCCTTAAGCTCACTGGATAAACACAGCATCTAAGGAACAAATCTTGGAACATCCAAGCAACTCAGAGATCAAAGAAAGCAGCACATTCCCAGTTTCTCTGCAATTCCTTCCTTTGAAGCAGGTGATGCTCCCGTTTTGTTTGGCTCAGACACAAATTGCAGCAGCTGGGGGTGAACTCCCAGCACTCCCTGGCCCCAGCCCTGTGGCTCAGAAGCAAAACAGCACAACCCATGTGATCCCCCAGAGCCAGAGCACATCTGGCTGCACCCCCTGCCCTCGGGGGTGTGAAAGCCCACCGAGGGAAAATCAGAGCTGCAAGTCCAACACACAGAACCACAGAGCAGCTGGGGCTCATCTGGAGATCACCCAGTTCAACCCCTCTCAGGCAGGGTCACTCGGAGCAGGTGACACAAGAATGTGTCCAGGTGGGTCTGGAATGTGTCCACACCCTCCCTGGGCAGCTGCTCCAGTGCTCTGCCACCCACATGGAAAGCTCTTCCTCAGGCTGAGGTGGAACTTGTTGTATTTTATTTTCTGCCCCCTGCTCCTTGTCCTGTCATTGGGCACCACTGAACAGAGTCTGGCAGCATCCCCTGGGCATATCTGTGGGTATTTGTCTCCTCTCCTCCACTCCAACCAGGCCCAGCTCCCTCAGCCTCTCCTCACAGAGAGATGCTCCAAACCCCTCAGCATCTTTGTGGGCACTGCTGCTCCTCCACGAGTTTGCTGTTAACCTTTAACAACGAGCCCTGTCCCAGGGGGAGCACGTTCAGCATCCCTGGGGAAGGCAGAGTGGGACACCCACCACAGCTGACACCCAACCCGGCCACAGGTGCCCTGGACAGTGCCTCCTCCCCAACCCCACCCCAGCAATCCCAGTCCCTGGAGAAAGCCAATCCCCACCCAGAGCACAGTGGGGCTCACCCAGCCCTGGACAGTGCCTCCTCCCCACCCCAGCAATCCCAGTCCCTGGGGAAGGCCAATCCCCACCCAGAGCACGTCCCTGTGTGTCCCACCCCTCTCAGGGCACACGGCTCCGCTTCCAGCTGAAAAACCCACAAACCCCGACCACATTTCCTTGCTCTGCTCACAACTTCACACCCAACCCCCACAGCTCTGGCTGTGTCCTGCCTGCCCAGCCCCCCCGTGCCCCCCTAGCTGACCTTTGGGCCGGGGTCTGCCGGTCTCGGGGCGGCTGCGGCGCAGCGTGGCCGGCACGATCTCGGGGGGCAGGTGCAGATAATCCCGCAGGTACTGGATGCCCTCGTTGGTCAGGTACCAGTAGAAGTGTCTCCAGGCAAACTGCTCCTTCACGTACCCTCGGGACTTGAGGGACTGCGGGGAGAGCTCCCAGTTAGCCCCAGTCAATCCCAGTTCCTCCTCACAGGGAACACGGGACCACCCCAGGAACCAAGCCCCCCCGTGTCCCCATGCCCTCCCACCTGCATGGCTTTCATGACGTGCAGGTTGGGCACGTTCTTGTCCACCAGCTCGGGGTGTTTGGGCATGTGCACGTCCTTCTTGGCCACCATCACGCCCTCCTTGAAGAGCAGCTCGTAGATGGCGATTCGGTTCTTCTTGGGCATCAACATCTGCACAGGACACAGCGAACAGGGCTCGGTGACATTCGGG